GTCATAACCAATTTCTTTCCGCCTCCGCGCAGGTTACCGAGCTGAAGGAGCGACTGAGGCCCATGCGTGGCTTCTGGGTGTCCCTCCCACACACCATCTGCAACGATGAGAAGATGGCTGCCGACGTCACTAATGAGGACCGCTGCTGGAACGGGCAGACCCGGGGGAGGTGAGCGAGATCAGAGTGGAGGGCTGGAGGAGGAAGGGGGTTCGGTAGAGGTGGAGGAAGAGCGAGCGAGCGAGTGAGTGAGTGAGTGAGTGAGTGATGGTGCAGAGGTGGAAGGATGCAACAGATGGAACAGAGTTGATTTAATTTTGCCACCACCAGTCACCCACATGCTCTCTGCGTGGGTCTGCTTGCTTTTATGTACACAGATGCAGCCCAACACCACGTATCTGAGCTGATTTAGAGACGCTGTGCAGTCCTGCGTGTGTGTGAGTGTGATGTGAGAGAGAAAAAACATGTTTGCATAATGGATGATTTCGTGTCTGATGTTCCAGCTGCATTGGGCAACAGTTTAATGTGGAAACGCACCCTCCTTACCAGCAAAGTGGGACTGCAGCCAGACATGTGTTGGTATAAAATTAAGTAACTATAGTTACTTTGACCAAAATAATAACATCATATACTGTACATTACACTTATTGAGTACTAGAGTGGGATAGAGTACTAATTAATTAATTATCAGGACTTGTTGGAACATTGGTCAAAAAGTTTATTTGGGCCATTCAGATACATAGTTTTAAAAAAATTTGGTGAAACCTGTTTTGTAGATACAACAACAACAAACAGCCCTCCAGCAACAATCCCAAAAGGCTACACATTTAAAAACAAGACTAAAGCCATGCTCACAGTCCTGTAGAGGCAGCAGTGCTCTGAGCTAAATGCTCAGAATGACAATAACATGCCGACGCCAAGCAGGTATAATATTTGCCATTGTCTAAGATTTGCAAATTAGCACTAAATACAAAGTACAGCTGAGACTGACGGGAATGTCACTCGTCTTACAGATGTTTGGATAATAAGTCGCTACAGTTCATCCAGAGGGGGACATGAATGAATGTTTAGACCACAACTGGATTCAGACATTTTCCCCTGAACCAAAATGTCAACCTTATTGTGCCGCTATACAGGAAAAAGTCAGGGAATCACCGATGTCTGTGGGAATCATGGTCTGTAGACCATGAATTTTATGGCAACCAACCCAACACCTGTTGAGACATTTCAATGCGGACCAAAGTGGTGACTGAACAGCATGATCATCCCTAAAGCCATGCTGTTGTTTGGCTACATGTACTTCCATTTTTGAAGCGCAATACAAAAAGCTATCATGAGCTTTAAGCTTAAATAAGTCCAGGATGCCTACATTGCTGCAATGAAATGTCAGAAAGTGAATTCCCCTCAAGAAACCAGCCAGTTATTGCTGTGAAGATTATTAGGTTATTGTAAAAATATACTATGTACGCCTGTGGTGCGATACTCATTAATTGTGTGTCTGAGTTAAACCTCCCTGCTGTGGCTTCAAATGGCAGCAGGTTGCCTGGCGCTGCTTTAGAAAGATCTTTGTGGATCCTTGTCTGTGTTTTTGTTCGTGAACGCCTCCGTGTGTGTGTGTGTGCACACACTCAGGTACCTCCCGGATGTGACAGGCGACGGGCTGGTCAGCCAGATTAACAACCCCGAAGTGGAAGTGGACATTGCTAGACCAGATGTAAGGACCAGACAGCTGATCATGGAGCTGAGGGTGGTGACCAACAAACTGAGACACGCTCAGAGCGGACAGGACATGGACTTCATGGACAGTGAGTGTTGTTTATCTCATGGTCTGGGTGAATACTCGATTCTGATTGGCTGCACGGTCCATTAATTCCCAATAATGGACACCTTGTCGCACATTAACCCTTACACATGTCCTTAAAGGAGTATTAAGGGATGCAGTATCTGTATGTGTGAACACCATCAAAGAACTTATCCACTAAATTTGTATTAATTAACTTTCAATTTCCATTCAAGAGTCAAATCTTTGTCTTTGTTCCAGGTGAGGAGGGCAGTGGCTCAGGGGGTGGAGATCACGGTGAAAGGTACAATGATGATTGGCCAGGCTACGGGCCATACTCTCCCTCCAACAACAAACCTCCTCGTAACCCCGCGTCCAACCCCGCAAAGCCGCCCCGAGTGCGGGAAAAGAACGGGGCCAAGTGGAACAGAAACAACGGCCACGGGCGGGTCAGATCTGCAGCCAGCCAGCTCACTCTCTCCCTGGTTCCTTTGTTGTCTTTGCCTTTCATGGTCACTGTTGCCCCCATGTGGAGATAGCTGGTTATTACAGTCTGGAGGTTTTCTGTTTCTTGCTGGAGTTTCAAAGCACATTATGATGAGAAGAAAAAGAAAAAATGCCATTCCATTTGTTTACACCAGCAGAAAAAAATGAAGACAAAAACAGGTTAATTTAGCAATAATCAAAAACACCTGTTTACAGCACAAAATAAGTTAAAGTGAATATTTTTCCTACTGCCCAAGCCACAAAAGAAGAATTACCAGGCATTGACGATTACAAACAATACTTAATCAACAAGTACTGCCATTTTGTTTTAGTGCCATTTGTGAGGTGTTTGACCTATTGGAGTCTCGATGCTGAAGGGTGTGCAGTGCTGGAGCATATAAGCCTTGGGGGGTGAAAAAGAAACAAAACGGTCATGGGCTCATGGTTTGGTGGTCTGTGAGACGGAGATTAGTGGTGCCAGTTAATTACCGTGTAGTTTCGATGAGCAGCTGATTTGATCCGAGTGTGTTTGTTTGCTGCCTTTCTCATGAAACTAAGTTAATTCATTTCATTGATCTTGCTTTCAGTCCAGTTGTGGTTCATTTGGTTCATTTTTTTCCCCTATCTTGTGGAAGTAGTAAGATTTAATTTACTCTCTTAATTAAATCTCTGTATTTTGGCTTGGAGATTAAAAAAAGTCAATAGTATGACTCTTTAACCAAACAAGGGGCTTATTTTGAATGTACCTAAAGGCTCAAATTAATCTGTGGTTACTTGTGATGACAAGGGGTTGATTAATGTAATATATTGATGTGTTTAATTTATTTGTAATATAATATTTTATTGTTCCTATTGTTATGATTTATAAGGCAAGGTTTGAGACTTTTTATCTTTTAAAAGAAGTGTTTATCTTTAACTTTCTCTGGTACAAAAAGGAAAAATCAAGTTGTATTTATTAATACTTTTCGTAAAACCAATCACAACGAAACTCTTAATATTAGTATCATCACAACGCTGGGCTATAAGACCAGCTGGAGGTTTTTCTGGCGTTTTTAGCCTCAACCAGAGATTGTTAAGGAGCAATGTGTGTGAATGTGTGTGTTTTGTATGATGGTTTTATATTGTTTGTTCAGGTTTTAAGGTTCTAAGTTCATGTTGAGAAGATTTTGAGACGTTTTTTAATACCACGCTTTTCTACTTATTTTTCCTAAAAGCAACAGAAGACGATGAAAACAGTGAGCGAGCTCATGGTGTGATGTAAAATTGGATTGAATGCGGATGGAAAGACAAATGCTGTCAAGAACTGAGAGACGATGGCTCTTAATTTTCATATGCTGAATGTGTTTTGACGAAGATAAAATCAAAGAATATTCAAGAAGCAAAAACAAAACTCGGGAGGGGTGGAGAGCAGGACAGTGAACTAAATTAGTTTGACATTTTGGCAAAGGCATTTATTCCCTTGCAGAGAGTTAGATGATGAGATTTATATTCTGGTTATACTGTTCTGTACGGTAAATGTTTGCAGCTGGTTAGCTTAGCTTAGCATAAAGACTGGAAAAAGGGGAAACAACTAGCCTGGCTCTCTCCAAAGATAACAGCGCCTTTTAAAGCTCACTAATGAACACATTGTGGTTTTATGCAGGATTATGTGCTGGATTATTTCTTGGCTGGGAGCAGTTGCCAAATAACCTGTGACTTTAGGAAGTCACTGGTCTTGGCCAGGAAATAACCACGGCATATGAAGTGGCAAAATGTTGGTTTTATACTTGGATTTTTGTAAGAATTAAACCAGATATAAGGATCTGGTTGGCGAGCTTTGTCCGGTCGGCTAGCCCTTCCCCCTGTTTCCAGTTTTTATGCTTAGCTAAGTTAACCAGCTTCTCAAAATGTTGAACAATTTCTTAAAGATGATGAAAGTCGATCGATAGATCCCAAAAGAGAACAGCGATACAGACGGAGAGAATAAAAAGAATGTATAGATGCTGTGAAAGGACACTTTTCTGTTGAATGAGGAATTGTGAAATTCACTTTGCTGTAACAGAAGTACACTTCTAGCCAAATGGCTTATTGCACCTGTACAATACAAAAATTAGCAAGAGAAGGGTTTCATTTTGCCAAAAATATTTCCTACTTTTAATCACTTGGCATATGACTCGGCATGAGATTTTATTCTCTCAGGCGGCGTTCCTGGATAAAGAGAGGTTTAAAGCTTGGTGTCAATATTAATGAGGGATTCGTGGCAGCAATCTAAGTGTTTGAGTATTTATGTCAAATTTAATTTTGGAACGAAACCCTTCAAAGTCAGTGGGACCATGTACAAGACTTCACCACAATCACAGTATTATGTTGCACAACTACTAATGAAAGCAACAATATTCCACAGTATTTCTAAAGCAACAGTATTGTAATCATATGTGCTTTTGATGATCAGCAGTCAGATTAGGATGTGGTGGCTGCAATATTTCCATTGAATTTCAGGTTAAATTGTTCTTTAGTACAACCTCTCATCCATTCCCACCGCTCGCACATTCCTTTATGGTGAAAGTATAGCACAACTTTTTTCATGTTGTTGTAACAGTTTTTTGGTATCAAACAAGTGATATTTTCTGCTTCATTAAAAAAACTCAAGAAAAGTATGTTGCATTTCTTTCTTACAAAAGCAGTAAAAACTATGTGACTAAAAAAAAGATCAAAGATGTCCATGTACCGTCACATAATTGTGCACTAGTAGTTAGATGAGTCAATCAACCTTTTATTATCTTGTGTTCATGGCACACATCTCGTACCACTGAGGCTCAGGCCCTGTTTTCTCCTCTCAGCCTTTAAGGTGAGCAGTCTCTGAGTTTGGATCTTCATTATGTAGCTTCTTGTTCTGAGCGAGGCAGTCGATGCAGCCCCGCTGACAAGGATAGAAACATTCATTATTGTTACATTTTTACTGGGCAAGTTAGTAGAAAGTAAATTAATTCATAATTTATATATGTATTCTGAGACTTTGAAGAAATAGATTGTGAATATTAAGCATCAAGTGAAAGAAAATTACATTATACATATATACAGTGGTACTTTTATAAATTGACTACTGTATACTTTCAGACTAATGTACAACTTGTTAGAAGATTTTATTCAGTGATTTATAATATGACTGCATACTGCAAATCTGTATGTAGAAATTAGAAAATTGTAATTAAACTATCAGCTAACTTCAATAAACAACTGGATCAATGAAATAAAAGGATGTCCTGTAGAATCTTTAGCACTTGGATACATGGAAAAGCAGTGTTATCTTATGAATCATTCTTCCACAGCAGGTTCACCGCAGTCCTTAAAACAAACTATTATAGATTGGTTTCATTTGTTACCTTCCACAACAGGAAGACAAGAACAGCCAACAACAGGAGCAACGCAATGACTGTCAGGAAGATGATCCACCAGGCAACTTTGGTGAAATATTGAGTCTTTCTCTCAAGGAACACTGTCAGTTTTACCTGTGGACAATTATTCCATAAAAGTGGGGTTATGAGGTGCATCAACAGGTGAGAAGCGCACAAACTCAGAGTCACTAATACACTACTCACAAAAAGTTAGGGATATTCGGCTTTCGGATGAAATTTCAGAATGTACATAAAATGCACTATAACCTTTCCAGGTGATCTTAATTTGACCTTCTACTTAAATGCCCTACTTTCACAATATAATATCACTGTAGCATCAACTTTTTACATTTTCCATAAATTTCATCCGAAAGTGGAATATCCCTAACTTTTTGTGAGTAGTGTATATTGTTTAGATAGAGTTCAGTGTGTAGACAGCAGCTTCATGAGATGACCTGTCTGTCATGTTAGTTACATCAGTGTGATGGTATTTACTGCAATATCACTGTCACTATCTGAGCCCAAAGGAGGGATATGGAGGAGCAAATTACATATTTTAAAACACTTGTGGTTTTACCTTTGTCTCAGGTTTCTCTGGCTTAAGTCCAATATTCTCTGGAGAGTTTGTTAAACTGAGAGTAGCATCCACAACAATGTCCAGGTAGTTCAAGGAGCTGTAATCCTAAATGGGAGAGGCAAAATAAATGAGTGAGTGGAATTCTCTATGGGAACTATTTTCTGGTTTCTTTCCTCTATGACAGTAAACAGAATATCTTTGGGTTGTGAACAAAACAAGATATCGAGGACGTTAGGACTTTAGGAAACAGTGATCAACATTTTCTGACATTTTATGGACTAAACAATTAACAACAAGCAACAGGCAACAAAGAGCCAAAAAGCTAAAAGTCAGTTTGAATAATTCTTGGAAACATGACGTTAAAGCACCAACAATTAAGCATTTTCATCACTGTTATCTGTCAGAGCTGATCCATTTCAAACATATGGGAGGCTTTTTTTTTTTTTTTTTAAGAAATGAAACACCTCTGTGAAAGTGGCGTTCCACAGGTGTGAATGCAGAACAACCACTGCAGTACTGTCCAAACCCAGCAGAGGGCAGCGTATCTCCACACACTTCTGTCCGTCAGAGCAGGTCTGAAAGAGAGGACAACAGGCCTGAGGCTCCCACATAACAGACACACTCAGCTTTAGGCTACAGCCTTTTCTTTCGTTGCTTAAACAATAATGATGATTTCTTACTAGGGTTTTGTATTTCCTTCTGGTTGGAAGAAAAGAGAATCCGTCAGTAGAGAGGGCTTCATGCTCAGCTTCACGTCTTTTCCTGGGGGGGTCATGCCATCCCTCAATAGCAAACATGAGCAGGTTACAGGTGTTTATTACAGGCATTGCTTACTGTTTGAACAATAAAACAAAAAGGTAGAGGTGTTTATTACCTTCACGTGTTTAAGTGGATTGATCTCGTCTACAGGTGAGCAGGGGACAGACTGTACACCTTTACTGCTGATCTGAGTCAAGTACAGAAGCCATTTTCCTACAGAGTTCTCCTTTGGCCAGTAGATGTTTAGTGATGCATTAGAGAAAGATTTCAGTGGTCTGCCCAAATTTGTTATCTGTTAGAAAAATAAGACATTCACCTGTTTGTGTAAAAGAAATTAAACTACGCAGTTAAAGGCTTTTTACAGTCGCAGCGAAGGATGGCTCACCCTAAATTCATATTGAACTGGAGTTCCGATTTCATTCACCGATTTTATGGCGCTCTCACCCCTCAAGTTTTCACCAAGTGACACTTGAGAAGGCCTGGCTAGTCTGACAAACAAAGATACACCTTAATGTTATATTCTTTGACATTTATCCATTATTCCAAAGCATTTTAAACAAATTTCAAGCCTGAATTTATTGCTCATGGCTTTTTAACAATAACTTTGTATATTGTATTACAAAAAGACGAGAAAAAAAATAAGATAAGAAAGAATAAGAACTTAAGAATAGCATAAATACAGATGAGGTTCTTGATATCTGCGTTGAAACTACCAAAAGAAAACATAATCTCATAAAATAACACAATTTAATAGAAAATAAAAACAACATTCAGTACCTACCCATATAATTGCAGCTCAAGCTGAAAAACCACTTTGGCTAAAGCCTCAACTGGCGGTATGGTCTGCACACTTGTCCTACATCACAGGAACATGTTTATTCATAATCATGTTCAGTCCACTGATCAATAACAGGTGCCCGTTTCCACTCTGATCTGCCTACTTACGTTTCAAGCTGCAGAGTGACGTTAACGTCTTTTGTACTCAGCGAGATGCCCGATGTTGTGAGTATGACATAAAATGTAACCTGAAGGGAACAAACAAAACAAAAAAATTATACAACAGATGCAGACGGTGATACACATGAAGGAAACTGAGCAGTACTCACTTCAGCATCTCTTCGGAGTGGGTTTCCCAGTTCACAGTCTATTAGTGTTCCCTTTTCATTGGCTGTGCAACTCACTTGTGTTTCCTACAGTGGTGGAAGAAGTATCCAGACAGTATCAACACCAAACACGAAAAGTCCTGCATTCAAAGCCATACTTATGTAAAAGTATGTAAGTAGTATCAGCAAAATGTGCTTGATGTATCAAAAGTACTCATTCAAATTTGTACTTGAGAATAGTATTTGAGTAGATGTACTTCAGTTGCATTACATTAGTTTTCTATGGATACAATGTAGCCTACATATATATACACATATACAAATGGTAATAAACAAATGAATAAATAAGATCAAGAAAGTGTGTCTGAATTGGGATAATACCAGAAATTACAAAGACATCCTTCGAACACAGTTCCTTCTCATATTAATCACACTAATAAATTGTTCTTCCACTACAGAGCACTTGAATACTTACTGCTGCAGGACTGTACACTATAGAAGAGTAATGAAGAGTATCTGGGAGGCTGATGATGGAGTGACTCTGGTGTGCGTCATCCCCGTTCCTGTTAGTCACAGTGATCTCCAAAGCTATGTCTTCATCAGATGGAGTGATGACTGCGACGCCATCCTCTCTAAAATCAATCATCATCATGACACAACCCCAGGTGAGTATGAGTTAGGGTTCAATCACATGTAATGCAGGAACCAAGATGGTTACTGGTAACTTTGTTTTTGAGTTTGGTTAGCTTTGGATTATCTTTTCTTACCTTGTCAGTGATTTGAAAACATCTTTATTATTTTGTGTTTTCCTGGAAGAGAACTTGTACTGTAACTCAAGGTTACTTTGGCAAATGTTGTCACTGCCACAGCCCTTGTTTATTAAGGTAATCTGTGAAAAACAACAGAGCAGAAATAGTTTTTGTTTTACAACTTGGATTAGCCCCTAACATTATCTTTATTGTCTTTTTAGTTTAGCTATTATAGTTTCATTAATAAAAAGAGAGATATAGACATGCACAGATACAGCATATACACACATTCATACCTCTGAGACAGTGCTCTTTTGCTGGAAGAGGTTGAGGACAGGAGTAACGTTGGGCAGATCTGCACTCGTCCTGGTTGTCTGACTGGAGCTCCACAGAGACACAGTGACAGAGACAGGGATACTGTGCAGCCTGTCCTTGATATCACGCTGGAACGGAAGAGTTTTTATTTTAGTTTAATCAGAATCAGAATCAGGTTTATTGCCAAGTAAGTTTTCACATACGAGGAATTTGCCTTGGTGCACTGGTGCAGTGCTTAAGTGCATAAGAATCACAATCACAATAATAATGTGTGCAGTCCAGTGTTTGGTGATTCAAAAGGGACATTGTACAATGAAATCGTACCAGAAGTCGGAGTCTGGTGCCAGTGCAGACTTCTCTCTTCTGTCCAGGCAGCTCCAGTCTCCCTCGAGACAAATCCTGAAAATCCACTCTGGGAGGAAGCCTCGCTTTTCTCTTCTCAGCGTCAGCCTCAAAAGTGTAGTCGAGGACTGTGAAGGAATAAGATACATACACTGAGACCTGTACCCAAATGTTGCTATTGCTAACTTCTACTTCTGTTGTTATAGGATGACAAACTACTACTACTACTACCATTATTACTGGAACACTGGATCTTCTGATTACAGCTGCTACTAATATTACTGCCACTACTTCAACATCTACTGCCAGTAATATTAAGCATAAGATAATTTTAGCGCAAAAAATAACTATATGTACATTTAAGGAACACTGTTTGTGAAGAACACTGAACTGACAATAGGGAAAACTTACTCAGTGTGGGGTTGAGCGATGCTGGATGTGCTGTGTAGGTGAAGCATGCCTGAGCTCTAAAATGACTTATAAGAAGACACAGTGGATCAAAAGCCAATAAGCCTGCAGTTGGTTCATGGTAGCATTTGTATTTTTGTGCATCTTACCATGTGCGTTTATCACACTGTTCCTTTATGATGTCTATTTTATTTGGTGTTAGCATCAGAGAGCTGCTGACACTGACCACTGGCCTCGCTCTGTAACAGAGAAATAATAATTATTATTAATTATTATTAATAATAATAATTTTCCAAACTGATATATTTCTCTTCTAAGTGTTGTTGTTTCTATAGCTGTAAAGTTACCTGTAAACAAATACAGAATCAGAGAGCGATCCCACAGCCAAATCAGGGTACTGATTGTTGTCCACGTCCAAGTTGCCAGACAGAGAATATCCAAACAGAGTCACTTTTTTGGATCCAGATGAGAGTACCTGAAGAAGTAAAAATATGAGAATCTCAGTTCAAGCTCTGTTGTGTTTACTGTCTAAATATTTTCATATATATTTGAACTGGTGACCTTTTGGTAACAAGCCCCACAAACTCACCTGTGCTGGCTTTTTTTTAATGCTGTCTGATGAGCCATAGTAAAGGTATACTCGACCAGAACCATCATATGGTGCCCCCACAGCAATATCTGCCACAATTAAAGACAAAGTGGGGTTACAACATAAAGAGACATTTCCTTAAAGTCAAACTTTAGAGCATTACAGTGAAACTATCTTTGAGAGGAAAAATAAGATATCCTTCCTCATACAAATCCAGTTCATAAGAAATAAAATGCTCACATGATCTCAGTACACTACCACAGCCTTACATGGTCTGGTAGGACCAGTAGCTTATGGTGGGTAATGTTAGCTGATGTTAGCCAACTTTAGATAGATACTTCTGTATAACTTACTGTACTTGTGCTGGTTACATTGCTTAGTATTAACTATTATCCTATATACCACTTGTGGCCACTGAGGCCACTGTCCAGCAAAAGTTACAAACCGGTCTCACTTTAAATAATGAAGTATTCATAATTAAACCAAATGTGCTTTCTTACTTACAAACTGTCTAGCTGTCAGTTTAATGTATAATTTATTTGATATAAAAACAACCTCCATAACCATCTTGATTGACGTCTCCTATGTTTTCCACTGCGAGGCCGAACATGGAGTCTTTATGTCCAAGAAGTTGTGTTGGAACAATCTTCTCCCAGTTTTTTCCTTTGTTGTTGATGTAGATGTAAACTGCTCCTCCAACCAAACTATCTTTAACAAAGAATTGCGGAGCTCCTACAGCAAGGTCCTCCCACCTGCACACACCAAAAGTACACAATACATTATTAGTATAACACAAACATGGAGCCATGTTTGCTTTGGCAGAATTCTTAAGTAGTGATATCACTTGTGTACAAACGTTCTGTGATGTAGATTGTGACTACAATTCATAATGCCAGCATGATAACTCCCTGAATGTTAATGTAAATAAGGTAGTTGCAACTGTATTTTAATTAATTAATTTAGTATGATTATAGTATTTATTTTAATTCCACAATATCAAAGGGAATTGAATTAAATTATTAGAAATATGTTATTGTTGAAACATGTTCAGTTTTGAAGACTTTTTAAAAACATAAAATATAGAAGGAAAAGGTCATGGCATGAAATAAAAACTGACGATTACATCATGGAGTGCACAACATGGAAAGAGTTTATCCTCTGGAGGAAATTAATGTGGTCAGTAAATGTCGTTGCTCATTAGATTTGGATATTTCTTGTGTGCAAGTGACAAGTCATGCTACATACGTGGGAGGTCATGGGGTCACCATGGGAATAAATACATCATGAGAAAACATCCTAAAGTAACCATGAATATTCATTAAAATGATCATATCAGTCAGGACAGTCATTATGATTATACTTTGAACCAAAGTATAGGATTGATGGACTGACCAATATAAAAGCTCAGGTTTTAAAAGACATAAAGTTCTTAATTAAACTCACCCATCCCCATTGAGATCCAACACTGCCACATCGTAGCCAAAGGAGGAGGCCAGGCCCGGACCAGAGAGGACTAACTCCACAGACAAATTTCTCTTTGCCACAGGGTCTGCCTTGAGAAACGCCACTTGCCCGCTGTAACCTCCTCTGGGTGCTCCGGATACGACGGTCAGCTCACCCTTCCTGATGAGGGCCAGACCAGAGTCGATGGAGAATCCTGAAGAACAGTATATGAAGCTTGGGAAGTTATACCTTATAAAGCAATAAAGATAGACTTTTAGGGTACCTCTAAATACTTAAAAGACCATTCTTACTACTGGAAAGCACATCTCCATTTAAATATTTCAGATATAAAGCAAGGTCTGACTTGAAATGCCCTAACTGACGTAGACCAGATTAGAAACTGACCCAGGTAGCTGTCCCTCTGGAGAGGAATGAGTTGTGTGTTAAACTGGTCCGAATTCCCGGTCTCACGAGACTCCTCACTGGGGTAGACCTGGTTGTCCAGTGGCTGCATTTGTACGATTCCTTTAAAATGGCATCACATGAGAAAACAGAGAATAACAAAACGTAAAATGCTGCATGATGTGGAAAACATGATTAGATATTGGGGTCATGGAGAGAAGGATTTTAATGTATGTTTCAGTAAGTAATGTAGACTTGATAAATGCAGTTATATTGTGATTGAGAGTAAATATAATATAGCTTACACTTTCTGCAAAAAACACCTGACAAGTGCACCATTTAGTTCTGTTTGAGACACATTTATTAGAAAGTACCCAGCTGTTTTTAAGCTTTTTTTAAAAAAAATAAAAAGTGTATATTTATGACCCGTTTTTAAAGATCTCTAGAAGGTGTCATTCAGTAAGAACCTGTGGGCATGAGCCACAGGCAAGCTGTGTTAAGAGATGTACTTTCATGGCGACTATGGCTTATCCTTTAAGGTTTATTGTTGAAAAGTGGGATTTTACAAAATAAACCTGATTTGTAAAACTTAAAAATACAAAATGAATCTCATTTCCAATCAGTCATAGGCATATACTGCACATGCTTGCTAATTTTGGCTGATGAAACAAACACCTGTTTTTAATTTACCTTTCCAATGGTACGCTCCTGGTGCACCAAATAACAGAGATTTGTTGTCCTTTGCAAAAGATGCTCCATGGCCCTGTTGGCAGTATGCAAACCACCCATGGTCCAAAGGTCGTCTGGTTAGGTGTTCAGAATCACAAACTACCCTTCTCCACGTCCTCTCTTCCTTCCCGACCTGCAGGTCATCTCCTAACAGGTAACACTGACCCGTCACCAAGCGAGGGATATACAGGCCCGGCCCCGGGCTCCAATGCTGGTATCGATGGGCACAAGTCTACAAGGGAAGGATGGTAAAATTACTGTTGCATTGATTTTTTATTGATTTTTTAAAATGATTTAAATGTAGAGAGTTTGGCTTACCATTACATTTTTACCAGGACCTTGGCTCGTCACTCTGACTCCCATCCACTGGTTGTTTATGCCTTTACTATTGAGGAACTCTAGAAAAATACATTTGTTGGGCTCACTGCAATGACTGACTACAAGATCACTATAATAACATTCAGTAGAAGTACTCAGATCTTTTACTTAAGAAAAAGTACCAATATAACAATGTTAAAATACTCCACTACAATTAAATTCAAATATTGCGTGCACAATATACTTAAAATATAAAAATGTCTGAGTGATATATGTATTATATACTGTATGACACTGTTAGATTCTTACTGATGCATCCATGGGTAAGCAGCATTTTCTATTGTTGTTGGAGGTAGCTTTAATTACTTTATATACAGTCAGGTAGTTTAGTCCGGTTCCCAACCAAAGGGTCGGGCCCCTCCTAAGGTTCACATTATAAATTTGAGGGGCCATGAGATGATTGGTGGGCAAAGATGAAAGAATATGTATAAATTTGTAAAAACTGTAGCCAGGCTGACAGAGAGTCACAGCTCTATTGAGCCACATATCCCCATAAACTTAAGTAGCAATGACTTCATGAGCTTCTTTTATAATAAAATTATTACTATTAGAGAGAAAATTTAGTTTTAGTCATATTTTAGTCATCTGAAATCTTTTAGTCTTAGTCTAGTTTTAGTTGACTAAATATCATAAGAGTTTTAGTCTTAGTCTAGTCTTAAGTCTTTTAGTCTTAGTCTTGTTTTAGTAGACCAAATATTAGCAGATTTTAGTCGACTAAATCACGGTGGTTTATCTGATAAAATAACCTTAGCGTGTATGCTAACCTTCGCATGTATTTCTGGATGAGTCGTCTGTAAATGTCACTTCAAGTTGGTGGAGTTTTTCCCAGCGATTTTTGCTCCACATGGTTTACAGACGGTCTTGTTGCCCTTGTTGTCATATGTTAAGTGTGACCAGATGTCAATTCTTCGTTTTCATCCTAGACCTAGCTCTGCAAAGCGTGTTGCTCACGAGCGAAGTCAACTGAAATCAGCCAAAGCTGTGTAACTAAGACTGTGCAACTAAACACAACTAAATATAATGTAAACAACCGAACTGTTGTGAAAACGTCCTGGAAACTGTGCGAAGTTCTGCAAATGCGTTTAGCTGTTGCGCCTGCATTTGCCACGGCCAGATTTTCGTTGACTTAAGTGTCAGTTATTTTTCGTCATAGTCTTCATCAACGAAATTAACACTGTAGTACAGTTTCTATTATTACTATTGTCACTGCTCATTGTCCCCCATAGTTGCTGTCGTCGTCGTCGTCGTCGTGGTCATCGTCTTCATGTTCATCATCATCAGTCACTACTATTAGTTTAGTTGTTGCTACTGTTGTTGCTGTGCAGTGTGCACCTGTCTGTCTGTCTGTCTGTCTGTCTGTCTGTCTGTCTCTCTCTCTCTCTCTCTCTCTCTCTCTCTCTCTCTCTCTCTCTCTCACCCCAACTGGTCGAGGCAGATGACCACCCACCTAGAGCCGAAGGGTCTGTCCTAGGTTTCTGACTCTTAACAGGCAGTTTTTCCTTGACCCCGTCGCCAAGTCCTTGCTCATGGTGGTACTGTTGGGTCTCTGTAAATGTTATAAGGAGTACGGTCTAGACCTGCTCCATTTGAAAAGTGTCCTGAGATAACTTCTGTTATGAATTGGCGCTATAGAAATGAAATTGAATTGAATTGAATTGATTTCTTACTTACTTGCATTTTATTATATGCATTTATCTGTTTTTAATGAAAAATCTTAATCTGAAAAGTAAGTCAGCTGTCATATAAATATAGTGGAGTAAAGAGTACAATATTTCCCTCTGATATGTAGTGGAGTAAAATTATAAAGTAGTATAAAATAAATAAACTGAACTACACGTACCTCAAAATTATCCACTTTCTTCCACTGATTGAATTCCATTAAACATACAAAGACTCATACAATTTTAGAAAAAATAGGCAAACAAACCTTCATTATCAAACTCAATGGGCAGACAGTGCTTGGATGATGTTGTAAGATCGCACTGGTAAACAACACCTGTAACATTCACCTGGTTCTGATGTTTTGATCGTGGAGCTCCTACCAGCAATCTGGGGAAATGTCCTTCAAGTGGTGAGACACGGATACAGATTTTGATTTAACGTATTCAAACTTACATAACCATCATTTTCACTCACAGGTTCTTTCTGGTGGGGTTCAGCTGCTGGTGGAAGGCAACAGAAAATCCAAACAGGGTTCCTGGATCTCCATTTCTCTGAAGCACATTCTGGGTGTCCAGATTGAAAGCTGCTACTTTAACAGTCTGGAGGTGCCAGACACTCCACAGATACACCATGTGCCAATGTTTTGCCATGTTTTTTTGTTGTTGTAAAATCTACTCTTTCTCATGCAGTGCCTGTGCTCTCTGAGAGAACAGAGAAAGTATGAACACTCATAAAAAAGGGATTGCCACATACCGCTGCTAAGTGGCTCATTGTAGACACAGACAAGCAGGGCGGGGTGGCGAGAAATTTATCTCCACACTTACAAAGCTGCTGTGGTCAACCTTATGACTTGATAACTGTAGTTAATATTAACTGATTTCTGCTTTGATGAGAGTCAAGCAGAGACACACCCTTTGAGCAAGAGTCTGCTTGGGCAGATCATAGCTCAATATTTAGAAGATTAGATGGCCATGTTAGTTCTGCAAAAAGCAACATCAAACATTAAGCTTGTCATTTACTCTGTCATTCTCTGCTCTGTGAGACTTATGGGAACTTGTGACCGCTTATTCAGAAACACCCTGTGATCCATTCACACCTGAAAACTACCTCATAAAAGCACCCTTTTCTCCCATGGCCTAAGCAACATGAATAAACGTATTCATTCTTCAGTGGACTAGTTGGAGCCGGTGAACAAAACTGTCACTTTCTTCATCTGGTTTGAAGATTTACACCTCGTACTTTTGTCGTCAAGGCTGAAAGCTTTTGATTATGCATGTACGTTCTTTTTAAGATTATTCATTAGGTAGTAAACTCACATGCTAGAAAGTAGAAAGTGTCCATTTTCTTTCCCTCATGTTTTCACTGCAGTTTATAATAACTGAATATTCTGTAGCTTCTTGTGCAGACAATATATATTGGCCTGGATTATTATTTTTAAAACTTAGCAAGTCTTTTGCCTATTGCATTTTCAAACAATGCTCCTGAGCCTTGCCGTCTTATTTACCTTTTTCACCAGTCACAAACAACCCAGGAAATGTTCCAGTAATCAAAAGAAGGCAACATTAAAGTCAGTCAGTGAACCTGTTCATTGAATAAGTAGCTCAAATGAACTCTCTGCACAGGATTAAGGGATAAGGAGCAGTGACTTATATATATACTGTATATATACTGTAGGCGAGCATAAGGAGCTACACCAGGCCTACTTGAGCCTAGTAAAGCTTAAGGTGGACTGAGCTTTAAGGTGGCACAGCTAATCCTGTTAGACACTGAAAGAGAACATGGAAATTAAAAAATGACCATGATTTGAATTTGTGAATTGAATTAGATAAATTTAACATATCGTACAATGTGATTTTATTATATATATATTTTTTTACAGAAAGGCTCTGGGACATTACTGCAGACTTCAGGAATTTAAAAGCATATTGCTTCACCAGGTGGCACCAGAGCATTTGTTACAGATATGGTGTTCAGATATGTCAGGCCTACAGATCTGCACAACTGCTATTGTTCATGTATATTTTTTTAGTAGCAGTGTTATGGTTGTATTGTTACTTAAACTCAGGAAAGCAAACTAAAGTAAAAAGTAAAAGTAAAAAAAGTGACTTCAAACAACATGAATTACTGTAGTATTGATAATGAAACTAATGACAAACGAGTTCGTGTTTAGTTTGGAAAGAAACAAGCTCGGGGGAATCGGTGGCACGACACATACTAAGACATTGTTGATGTGAGTTTGGCTCGTACTTTCTGCTGCATCACATCCACTCACTGTTCGACTTCCTGTCTCTTTGTACTCTATGCTTAAAAGAAATAAAGAATACCGTAACAGAATCTCATACCTGGTGTTTACTGATCTGCAGTTTTTACTCATGTAATGTAGCAGTTTATATGAAGTGAGATACTTTCCCACAAACAGTGGCAAACAATTACACATGGAAAATTCAGCAGCAGTGTGGATGTGTGGTAAGAGAGAGGTGTCAATCCGCAGGGGCTCTCTTCTTACACTTTTTAAAGCCCTTTTCAATGAGGGTTAGTAAGCTTGCAGGAATAGACACAAACACACACCCAGCCACCTACACACATTGGGCAGTGATACCACTGTTATATGCTGAGTGTTTCCATTGCAGTAGTTGGGGGATGTGGTTTTCTTCTTCTTAAGTTGTTGAGAGAGGAGAAAGTGATGCACAGTCCCTGGTCCGGCTTACATCTTTGTGACAGGCGTATACTGCTGATCCTCTGCTAACACGCCCTTTTCTCAGACCTGAAGGTTCACTTTTACTCAACCGTCCTATTTTTGTCTCCAAAAAGGACTCCTACAAACTTCACTGATTTTGTAGGTTATATGTTATAATATAATTTAACTATATATAGTAATTATACTTCTACTTCTTTGTAGAATTACTTGTATTGAGCTTGCAGTGATAATGAAGAAGATAAAGAAATAGTTTGTGAAACAGCAGAAAAAGCACAGGTGTAACCAACAACATTAAAGTTTTCTCAATTCCCTTAAGTGTCTTAGTAAGCCATGTCAGTGAGTGAACATACACAATATCAGAGGAACTGGATTAATTGGATTCGAATGCAGCCATTTTAATCCCACCTGTACTTTTCCTGCTTTGACAAGTCAAAATGTCCGCCATGAAAAGGGTCTATTCAATGAGAAGATTTACTCTCATCTGTCTCATGTCTGTACTGTAAATATGGAGCTAAAACTAGCATCTGGTTAGCTTAGCACAATGACCGGAAACAGATGGAAACAGCTAGACTGGAAAAGTAGGCTACGTGAACTTTCAAACAGGACCTGATAATGAAAGGATTGGTATTTTCTTGCTTTTATGACAAACTGGATTAAAGACTGTATGTCTATTATATTGACTAGTAAGTCACAGTTGTCATGATCCAACGTTCAGTTAAACCCAATGTCTCGTTTGATTGGTTTTGAGGTTGTGTTTTTAGTGCCCCATGCCCACCTCTGGTGAAACCAGCCAATATTCAGTCAGGTTGGTATTGGTGGTCTTATCCCCTTTCTTACCTGATCAACCGCACACGAGACAAACATCGGGTGGTCTGCAAACCTGATGCTGAGTTAGAATATCGTTCACCAGTTAAGCCCACAGTGACTTTGATCTTGTACAATTTACAAAATGTATCATGAAAAACATGGTTAAAAAGAGTTTCTTTCAAAAATAACAACCAAGACACTTCTTTATGAAAATACATGTTTTTTATTCTTCTATGGCACATCATAAAAGACAATTGTATTTATCACTGTTATAAATAAATATTCCTACAAAAATCCAAATTAAAAAATTTAAAAAAACAACCAAAGATGTACATTTATTGACAACATCTACTATTTAAAAACAATTGTGGTTGCATGAGCTTGAGTGGTTAATAATAGATGTTTTAGACATTGGTTGAACTAAACTGGAAGACACACATCCAGGAAGACAGTACTGAAATGATCAGGTTAACTGTCTTTGCTAAATTTAGCCTGCGGAGGCTTCTTGTACCCTAGCTACATATCCTGTTGATGTATAAACTCATGCACATTCTGAGTAAACATGCTTGGCGGTCTGTCAAAAGCAGAGAAATGGCCAGCCACAGTCTTCATCTCACAGCTCAGTTGCTGCATGTGGCTTTGCTTGTTGTTTCACAGGAATTAACATGCAAAATACCACAGTGGCGCGAAACAAAAAATGTAAAGACCTTATTTTTGGGTGGTTACATATGAATGTCTATTGTTAGCAACGGTAAACTGAAACTGTTTCCAAGGGGCTTTTGTTTCCATACAAATTAATGCTCTACAGTACAGTATTCTATTGTACCTATAGGATGCCACTAATCTCTCCTGTGCAATAAGAATTAATCAGTCACATTTGCTTATTTACGTAATTACTAATTATTGGTATCCAATCCATGCCAATCAGCACTGTGTATACACAATACATAATGTGTAATTTGAAATTACAGATTAGAGTTAAAACTTTAATCTTGCACTCTTATATGCATTCATCCTCCTCTGTAGATCAAAGAAAGTTAGTTATTCTTCCTAAATTCATTATTACAGGATAGTTAGTGATCATGTACATAGAAAATCTCAGTTTAATCATGAAAAATCAGTGGTAGTTGTATTTTCAAAGCAAAGACAACTTGAAATAGGTTACTTCAGCCTAGCTCTATTTATGTAACAGGGAGGCAGAGTCTCACCTCTCTCTTCGTTCCTTTGACGAGAAGATGACATATTTACTCTGAAGTGGTTAAGCCCACCAGAAGACGTGGGAACAATGAGCTTTTATCATCAAAATACAACGTTGGCTAACTGATGCGCTTTTAGGCGTGAGAAAAAACATATATCATAGGTCTTCGTGTTCATTTTACTCTCGATATTCAGAAAGAAAGCCCCAACAGAAACCTAACTTTATTTACTGTCCTCTTGGGGAATGTAATTTGTCCTACAAGGACAGTCATTTTAGTAACTATTATTATTAGGATATTACCAAATTCCACCAAATTCACAACCTCACGTTGTGTCAATCATTAATAATAGATACAACCTCACTGAAGCCACCAGCACAGTGGCAAGCTGACATGCTCGCAATGACAACGCTAACATGCTGATGTTTAGTTCACCATCTTTGTTTAGCATGTTAGCATAAAACACAAAGTACAACTCAAGCGGATGGGTATCTCATTAGTATAAAACAGGTACTGGAGAAAGTGTGCATTATTTTATTGCGACCTGATGTCAGGGAATTAAAATATAATTACAATTCCCTCTGAGGCCAGAAACAGATTTCATGGCAATCCATCCAGTAGTTGAGATATTTTCATTTAAAGCGCTAGAGGAAAAGTCTGGGGATCGACATTAGGATTCATCCTCTGGGAACCATGAATGACTGTACTACATTTCTGGTCAAGCCATCCATACTTTATGATATTTCACTAAGTGAAAATATTGACATGATGGCGGCACTATAAGAAAAGGTTTCATCCTGTTGGAACCATGAATATCTGTCAATCAGAGGAGTGTCAGTCGTCACACTTTTCATTAGATATTCGCAGAAAAACAAAGACACTAGACACATGGTTTCATGTGGTGGAAGGAGAGGAGCGAGTTTGAGTTACACATCATCCATCGTCTGCGAGTATTTGTTTTTTTTCAAGTTCCATGTTCAAATGAATTCACTTAATGTTCAGTCTCCTTGCTGGAGATCTTTCAGGTTCATTACTACTTTTTCCATTATCGTTTAACAGGCGGCTGTTAAAATTAATTTAATATCATAAATGGTCAACCAGCCGACTGTAAGCTTTAACTAACGAGTGCTAGTCGAAAATCTTCATTCAGGGCAGCCCTAATCTGTCCAATAGTTATCTAATAATTTATTACAGGAACATTTTCTACCAGTGTTTTTGAATATAGTTTCAAATGCTATCCTGACACTATCAACTAAATATATTGAGATTTTTAGCAACAGTATGTGTATGTGTAAAAGGATCGGTTTGTCTTGCATGGTCTGAAACTATGGACGATGGGACCTGTATGTAGGCTATGATGGTTTACAAAATATATGGTACAGATTCTAAAAGCTTCAACAGTATCACCAAGCTGTGTTCCACATTTCTACATGAAGCTGCATGAAGAATGCATCTGTAGCAGCCACTTGGGGGACAATCTGTGCACTTGTGGCCTTTTCTCAACCACCATTTGTCACCTCTCAGAGACCTGTGTGAGAACTTGTGGCTTCATCTGTTGGTGACCTTTAATCTTAATGATTGTCTTGAGGGATTTAGTATCAAATCATTGACAAAATCAATGTAGACTGCTTTTGGTTGAAGTGAAGAAGTATTAATTTACAAAGTTTAGCAATATGACACAGTTATTACAAGTAAAAGTCTGCATCAAAATTAAGAATGTTATGAAGTAATAAGTATAACCAAGAAAAGGCTGTATAAAAGCCCCTTATGTTATACAGTGGATCATTATTATTGATGCATTTACAGGTAAACAGTACTAAATGATGATTGATTGAGCTCAATTTATTTTAACTGCTTTACATTTTTTTGGGGTTTATTCTATCAGTGCACCATCATTTAGAAACTGATGAAATGTTTTGTATGTGAAACATTAAACTGAAAAGATAAATGTAGTGGAGTAGAGGTATAATTAAGTAACTCAAAATTACACTTAAGAACAGTACTTGACACTAGCTTTTACTTTACTTCTCTCATAACGCTGCATTGTCCACTGGGGCAGCTAAAAGTTCAGAGGCTGTCTCAACTCTCTATCACATCGCATTTGACATAAAACTATTTGGACCCACTCAAACACCACGTGTCAACCACATTACTGTTCACCACTGAGTTAGGTCTAAGATGTATTCAAGTCACCACTTTACGGGCATAAAGAAAACATAGTTTTAAAGTACAATACAAATATATACATATACAAATGTATATATGTGTAATTGTATAAGTGTATATAATCATATGTAATTCATTAACTAATCTTTTCGTGAAAAACAACAAACTGTAGAGCTTAAACTTCAAAAATGGGTCAATGATTTGGAAAATTTAGCAGGAAGTGCCTTTTCTTTGTTTCAGCCAATCAGTATGATTTCTACTTTGTAAACCTTGATCAACTTGTGACAAAATCTTCCATTTGAGTGGGAAGACATCAGTTGTGCAAGAGAAGGGCGCTGTACCACAATGATCGGAAGACTGGCTGCTTTGATTCTTCTCTGTACAATGTGTAAGTGCACTACTTTAAAACGAGTACTACTGTAAAATATCGTTTGTGTGAAAAGAGAGCAAAGACATACTGGTTCATGTGACATTGTGAGTTCACTTTTTGTTACTCTTGTCCTGTTGTTTGGTAACTGATATTTTTTTATCTTTTATTTCAGCTCAAACCATAGACCTTCCTCCCCAGATGCCTTTGACTGTGGCTGAACTTGGTGATAATTTGAATCTGACATGTTCAATCTCTGGAAGTGAAGCAGCCGGGTTGATTTACTGGTATAAAGTGAAGTTTGGATATATGATCCAAACTGTTGCAGGAGGAACTACTTACTCAGTGTCACTTGAAGGACAATTTGTCAACCCAAGATTTTCAATCACACCAGGGGTGGATTTATATTTTCTTAACATTAAAAATGTTAGCAAAGAAGATGAAGCAACATACATCTGTCAAGTAGGATCAGCATACAAAATGAGATTTATGAATGGCACATTATTGGCTGTGAATGGTAAAGTATGATAATTTCATTCTCTTTATTTGTCATGCTCGCATCAATAACCAAACAATCCATTAGATAATTCCTGTTTTTTTTTTTTTGTGAACCACACAGAACATAAAAACCATCAGAAATCTTTGATCGTGAAGCAACATCCAGAGAGAGCATTAGTCCAGCCGGAAGACTCAGTGACTCTCCAGTGTTCACTTCTCCCCAAGAACAAAGAAAACAGAGTCCAGTGTCCAGGTGAACACAATGTGTACTGGTTCAGAGCTGGATCAGGACAATCTCATCCAGACGTTATTTACACTCACAGGAACAGCAGTGATGAACAAGAGGAAAGAAGCTGTGTCTATAGTCTGTCCAAAACCATAAGAAACTCCTCTGATACTGGGACTTACTACTGTGCTGTGGTCTCATGTGGAGAGATCCTGTTTGGTGAAGGAACTACAGTGGAAACAAGTACGTTTTAAAGTCTCGATTATTATTCTGTTGCTTTACAGGTACAGTGTTGATAACAGGAAAGAAAAAAACATTATTATGTGTATTTTCAGGACTTTTATCTTTGCCTCTTTTCTTGGAAATACTAAGGTCATAGTTTTACCTCTTCAGGCCTGTAAAAATTATTCAAATTGGATCTGCTTGAAGTGCCCACAGTTGCAAATACTGTGTGTAACCTTTGATGAGGAGCGGTAAGTTGTCTTTGTGTTTCAAAGGGTCACAAGCCACAAAGGTTAGGAACCACTGAAGTAGTTTACAACATTTACAAGCTATATGAGGTGGACTTCTAATGTAAACCTATGCAGTGCATCTGTAGTGAAGTCCTTTTACGGGTAGGGTTTGACTGCCTCCACTGCACTTCCTTTCTTTGTTCTTTCTGTGCGTGTGTTTTCTCTCCATTTCCTGTGGTGCTTTCTGTCCCACCGAGGCCCCTCTCTCTCTGCTGTTCATGTTCTCTTGTGCAATCTATGTGATCATTTTAGTTGTGACTGTGCCAGTGAGACATTGATAACAGGAGCAGCTATAATGCAATACAATCCAACAGAAAAATGCCACAAACTACAACAAAAAAATGGCCATAGCATTAAATCAACAAGTTTTGACAGATCCTTGGTGAAACCTGATAAGCGTTGCAAAGGTCCTCAGTATTAGATTGCCGATTGTAAAAGTATTGCTGTTTTGAGTCCAGCCCTGTGCTGGTTATCGTTCCTTTAAAAAACAAAATGGTGGAAAATAGGAGTAACATACAGATTAATACAAAAACATGATTCTTATTATTGATTTAATGAAAACATACCTATGAATATTATATTCCATTTATACAATAGATCCTCCTAAATGTTACACACTGGACCTTTAAAACTACACAGACCAACCACATTTATAGAAAACCACATCATCTAAACAGAAAGGAAAAATGCACAACACTACAAGTCTACAGCCATGCTAGCAGCTCTGTGACTTTGTACTTAGATACAATGATGCTTTGATCTAACTGCATGCTAACATTTGTTAGTTAGCACCAAACAGAAAGTGCAGCTGAGGCTGATGGGAATTGGTTTTGCAGATATTTGTTCAAAAAACAAAACTTGGCACAAAGAACAATTTTGACCTGATGATGACAGTATATAAAACTTAACTGGATCAGCAAATAATTCATCCTGAGGGTAACATGGATATATGTACCAAAAGCCATGGCAATCCATCCAATAGTAACTGAGACATTTTACTCAAAACCAAAAATGGCAGTCTTTGATGATCACCAAATGTATCAATGTATGGACCTTATTTATACAGTGCTTTTCTATCTCAGTGGATAAAGTGCTTTACAACTTTTGCCTCCTCCTGACGCAAAAACTGCCATTCCAGGCACGCAGATGACCAGCTCCACCTCTTGAGCCTTCCCATTTAAAGTTCCCAGATACATTGTTTGGGAATGTACAAACTTTTATGTCAATCCATGCAATGGTTGTTGAGATGTTTCAGTCTTGACTGAACAGCAGACTGACATCGCATCTATAGAGCCATGCCACCCACGCATGCATCACGCTGTAGAACGATTGGTTGCAGCCCAAAACAGGGTTTTGCCTTCAGCTTTGTCTGTTAAAAAATATCTGGTAAGGCAAAGAAGTCATCATATGTAAAAGACAAAAATAGGTACAGTTAAATGAGTACCAATTGTATGAAACTTAAGAGTTCACTGTCAGTTTTGTAGCTGTGGAAAACTGTTACTAATCATGTAACGCACTGTAGTAATAGTTTATTGTCTCTTTGGGATTTATGTATTTTTCATTCCAGGACAAGAAGTGTCATTTCTCATTGTGCTTGGGACACTGCTGGCCTGCTGTGTGATTGTGATTGTTGCTCTAATTGTCTCCAGAAATAAAAAAACAGTCTGTGAACATTGCAAAGGTAGGTGCGTGAGAGTGTACTATTCAATACATTAACCAAGTCAGGTGCCAACACTGATATTTTTAAAATATTAATTAATTAATTGCCTTGCTTCATTAATAGGAGGAGTAGCTGCTTACAATCACGCTGAACGTGACAGATCATCTGAGGATCAATCAAGTAATGTGGTAAATATAATTTCAAAGTATTATCTAATGCATGACTAGTATTAAATAATAATACATGGTTATTCCATTAATCCAACAAGTCCTCCAGATTAAATGACAAAATACGTTGTTTGTCTTTGCCCTCCAGAACGAGACATACATTTTCTGATCTCATATCAACAGGACAACATCACAGTTGACTTACAAATGACTCTATTTTCTAATCTTAAACAGTTGTGGTTAAGGTTTGATTAGGTTTTTCCCACTAAAACAGCTGGCCTGAGCTCGTAAAACATCACAGTTGGGGTAAAGTACTTCGTTAAGGTTAGGGGATCTTTGTCAACTTAGTTACACAAGCACTTTGGTTAAGGTTAGGGAAAAGACTGTGGTTTCTGTTAGATGTTAATGACCATGTTATCTTTCATACCGCAATTCTGTGCACTACTTCTGCATTAAACCAGACTGCAACCTTTCTCACAACATAACCAAGTTCCGTGAGTGAACATAATTTCTAGGAGACAGAGTTGCCTCTCCGTTCTGCATCATTGTGGGCGGAAATGCTGCAGCAATGACAGAGGAAACAAACCTTAAACTGCACTTGAATTGACAGCTTTGTGAATCTGCTCACAGGAGGCTGAGTGTGGGAGGAGTTGGCCGTTCATGAAAGCCTTGTTCTGTTTTTACCCTTACATAGCTCTAGACTAACTGCTTAAAAAGTGGTTCCGGGGTCAAAAAATTGGCTACCGTAGCTTATATTGTTGAATGTCAAAGCAATCCTATATTACTTGGTTGTGTATTACAGTTCTAATATTTAACAATCACAAATATAATTTCCAGGATAGTGGAGCACTGGAAGTGAACTACGTAGTGCTGGATTTCCCCTCAAGAAAGAGAGAGAGATGGCTGAATACCAGTGATTTATCACATGACTGCATTTACTCTGGCATGGGAGACTTTCAATGAAGGACCATCCCCATGAAGAATGAACATCTAATATGTACAGATAATTTTCATGAAAGGAGCTGACAGATTTTTTCAGGAATGTTATGTTATAGCAATATCGGAAAGAAAGGATTTAGACAGCACTTTTTGTTTTATGATATATATATATATTGAACCAAGATTAAATATGTTATTAACTTTTATTATTGTTTTATTATTATTAGTGTGTCAAACCGATCTTGAATAATAACTCAAATCTGAATATGAATGTAAGAAATGTGTATATTCCCATTAAAGAGAGAATCCATGTTCTAGGTTCTGTGTGTTTATTGTGAAATTAACAAATAAAATAAAAAACATCACATCAAATACTCAGCATTATATCACATTATATGTGACGTGAGAGTACACACTGTCCTCAGCAGTCTCGCTCTTCTTTCTTCCTCTCGTTGAGAAATTCAATGCCTCGACGTAGTTAAATTTGTCGTATGCTTCAGTCTGTGGAGAGAACAACATATACATATAAATATATATGGATCCTTTTATAAGCACTTTAATGGAATAACAAGAATATTATCACTTACTGTATCATGTACTGGTTGGCACAAGCTGTCATGTCCTGCCTCTAAAGTATCATTTTCCATTCCTAAAGATTAGTGACATCATGACAATAAATATATATTAGATAAATGTTATAATGTTGTATAATGAGTATAATGTTACAAAATAGAAATCATTCTCATATTCTAATAAAATATATTTAAAAGCTGGGTTTAAGGAAGTACACAAAGGAACAACAACCACTGTATGCTGCTTCTGTTGTTTATCGGTTCATTAACAATATGCAAAATTATCATTATTAAAATAATTCTACTCAGAAAATCTGTATTGTAAATATTTGTCCAATCTTGTACAATGCATAAATAAATCTAATAGGCCTAAGTGTGATGAAAACAATGTTTTCATCGTAGCAGGAGAATTTTTTAATTTTTGCAACAATCTTCCTTGTTTACAACACTTACCTTTATACTGTTCATGTACATTTTGGTTGCAGATGAGGACGACATTTCCAACAACAGAAATGGCCAAGCAGATGCTTAATATCACCACTGTAATAAATGCCGAATGTGTTGTTTTCACTAGAAATCAAACAAGAGACTTATTAATCATAATGTTACATGTTCAACATGTTATGAATATCATTAACAGTATTTAACACAGATACATACCGATTTCCAAATAATATCTCTCCACATGTGGCCACAGCACAGTAATAAGTTCCAGCATCAGAGGAGGCGACGTTCTTAGTGAAGCGATAAACACAGCTTTTCTCAGTCAGATCTCTTGTCACATTTATCGTGTCTATTTCCATCAGTGTAAATGATATTTGGATGAGATTGATCTGATCCAGCTCTGAACCAGAACACACTGTGATCTCCTGGACATGTTTTATTGTCAGAGTCAGAGAGGACTGAACACTGGAGAGTCACAGAGTCTTCTGGACCGACTGGATCAGATACTGTTGGCCACTGAACAACAGTATAGTTTGATGTCCTCTTTTGATGAGTGTTTCCTGTGTAGTACAAAACTGTTAAAAGGATGGGATATCCAAACACATTTGGAAAACAGACGAATTTGAGCATATCTCAAATGTGAACTAAAGGAAAAACAGAAAGACACTTATGGTTTTAACTAGATATTTTTATATTCAGTGCATGGTCTCCACTTTTAAAAGTGTATGATTATTTTTTTATTAGACAACACAGCTGGTGGTCATTCAATCAGTGGGTGACATTTTGCAATTTTTCAAAACAGACGTATGATACTGTTCTGCAACTGTTCTACAAAACTTATAAAAATAGATGACATGATTACCTTTTAGTAACAAATATGTCCCGCTCCAGTCAGGTTTTGAAACCCACTCCAAGCTTTGACAGTGATACATTCCCTCATCTTCTTGGACTGTCCTCACAATGGTTAGGTTGCTAAATTTGTTATCATTACTCATCTTCAATCTTGAATCAGAAAACTCTGGTGCATACGCAGGTGGTGAAGATTTCTCCATTGTCCCAATTAATTTCATAGCATCCCCAGCACTCTGCTTGTACCAGTAGAGTTTTATACGGCTGATCTGAATATTGGGCAAAGGGCATGTGAAGGTCACAGGTTCACCAAGCTGAACTGTGATCACTGGAATCAGCGTATCTGAATGAAATTAACACACAAAGCATGAAATAACAGTGCATGATGTGAAAAAGTTACAATGCATTTTTTCCAGTTGGCATGCAGATTCTTAAATTAAATAAATAAATAAGCACTTACATCCTTGATGAAGAACAAGCAATAAAACACACAACAGGATCATCTTGACATTGTCTCTTGTTAGGAAACTTGTCGGTATTTGGGTGAGTGAAGGAGGTGACGGGCTTGTGATGAACAGAAATGTATCTCATTGGTTGTAATACATAATAGGTTCACAAGTGCACTTCCTGTGACGTGTATCATCTGAGTCTTTGTGAAGCACATTATTTTTTTTTGTTCACTCTTCACCTTTGTCGCGCTTGCCTTTCTCTGCATGTTTTTTTTATCTTTTATCTTTTCATCTTATGAATGCATGCATATGCATGGACAGAAATGTCTGAAACAAGGGTGGATATTGCATGTCATTACTGGGGGAGAAAATAATCCAAAGAAGTTCTTCTTGATCTTGATCTCCTACTGTGTTGTTTTCCTCCCTCTTCTCCTTCTGTGCAGTCCAGGTTCATACAGAGAAATAGTTTGGAGTAAAACAACTGTTCGGATATAATTACCTTTGGACATAGTCAGGCTTGCTGTTTCCCTCTGTTTACAGTCCTTATGCTATAGTAACCAGGGTTTGACTGCAGATTGATATTGAGCTGACAGATATAAGAGTGGTATCGAATAAGCGTCCGAGAGTGAGCTGAAGTCACTGATGTAATAGCAGTAGTAGTAATAGTTGAGTATGACAATGAGCAATGACAGACAGGGATAATTTCATCACCAAAAACTATAGTGCTAAAGAAGCGGTAACAAAGCAGCTGGGACAAACTACAAAAACATGCAACTAACTCACTGACATATAAAAGGGTAAGCTAATGTAATGCTGTGGATATAACTTTTTGTTTGTGAAAACTTTTCTTCACCTGCATTTAAAAATAAGTCCTGCTTTGTAAAATAACTGTCTAAATAAATCACTTATCTTCCAAAGAAGAAATTAAATTAACAAAATTTAGAATAGGATCCAAAGTTTTGTTAAAGTTATTGGAACAGTTTTGCTCTTTCCAATGAAGTAAAAAAAAAAATGCCTGCGGGCTACAAGAGAGGCAAAAGCAATAATATTTCTCTCCTTTAGTGTGAAGCAGGTAAAATCTTTAGGGACATTTGGAACAAGAAACCAGGTCTTCCACAGCAAGCTGCAATTTCTCATTCATCTGGGTACTGGTCTCCAGCCTAGATTTAAGTGTTGCAACTTCATGCTCCAGACTAGTAATTCAGTCCAAGTGGGCACTGAGATTCCGGAAACAGTGGCAGTGTAGGAAGTTGGTGATATTTTGGAGAGAGGCTTGAATTGGAAACAGGGGGGTGTTCGAGGATGTAGTAAGTTCACCTGTTATAGCTTTGTGTAGTTTCTCAAGTCCACCGACTAACATACCGAGTGTTAGCAGCTGGATGCCACTTACTTTCACACAGTGCAGTGTCAGTTGTAGTTGCCACGAGTGCCGTGGGATTTTTTTATTTTGGCTCTGATTGAGTTGCAGTGGAACTTCTTATGACCAATTGGTTTGACAAATAAAAAAGAATTAATTCAAAACAAAGTTTTATTTTATCAGGGAGCAAATGCAATGCCTCCGATCGCTCTATAGTCACAACCGGAAGTCCTGAATAATTATGTTTTTAAAGGCTGTGGATGTAACTTTAACACTACTTTTAATCTTTGTGTTATTATCTGAACGAATAAGTAAGTTCCAGGATTAATGTGGGAAGTCAAATATCTTAATCTTCTCCTCTAAAGCTAAGCTCTGACAATGAAGAATGTTTTAATGAGTGGATATAGACCATTATACAACAAAGTTGGTGACAGCTGTAGCCTCAAAATGCTTAAAAGCCATCAAAATTTCAAATGCATGATAAAAATGGGATGAAAACTAAAGAGTAGAATGGCTTGTTGACGGGCACGGAGGAATATAACGGTCAATGGGGACTCTCAACTACTAATGGTATAACTTCATCACTCAGTAGCTCAGTCACAGACTTTCATGTGTAATGAACTGCCCCAAAGCTTTGCTCCACTGCAGCCAAAAATATGGGGAGGCGGGACTAAAGTGTGCAGGAAACAAGCTGCGAGTCGAGTAAAGGAACAGTCTGCTGTGAGATACAGACAGAACTGCCAGATACCCTCTTTCAGCTTCTGTCTAGTGTTCTTACGCCAACCAAACAAATCTAACACCTTATTAATACAATAAGAGGAAGTCTGAAGGCTACTCCCTGAGGAAAAATTTAGTTATTATACAGGTCTCACAGCATACAAACAACGTCGTAATTGTCAATTCTCATATGCTGTAAATTTAATATATATAAAATGAATAAGAGGTGCACGTGTATGAAAGAAAGAAAGCAAAACAGCTGTTCATCAAATAAGATAACAACTAACAAGGTTTAACTTTAAGCAAAGCAGACAAAAAAAAACCAATGAAAACAGTTTTATTTTGAATAAAACAAATGAAATAGGGTTACACAACCACACAGGATGAAATGGTCAACATAGTGGAACAATAAGAGCAATTTTATATACATACTTGCAAATAGGCACTTGTGAATGTATGCTTATGCTCAGCAAAGATAAGAGAGGGGCACTTATTACATTTATTCAGTGGTCAATCCAACCGAAAGGTTTGCATTGACACAGACTATCAGCATTTAACTTGAGAATATACACTTTCTTCAGTCTTTAACTCTATATTCTTCCCTCCTCTTGTAGCTTTCCTTCCAGTGAAATGCAACGCAGCATAGTTCAGATCAACTCCGTCTAGAGTCTGTGCACAACATAAAAGGATCACTGTAGAGTCATGCTGGGAATTATGTTAATTAAATAACACGTATCATCACTTTAAAAATCACATACCGTTTGGCTTGAGTTGTCGTGCCTTACTTGTGAAGAGGTGCCTTCTACTCAACAATGGATGAAAAAAGGAATATTATGTACTAACCTGGCTTTTTGATAAAGATCCTCAACTGAGTCAACAAGTTTTAATTGACAAAATATCACAAATAGCATAAAATGGATTTCTCTAGTTACTGACATTGTGTACATTTAATGAGGAACACGTAATAACCAGCAAAATTGTGTTAATGAGGACTAAACACCATTGATGCTACACTATTTTATTGACAATTCACTTCCTACATTATGTGAACTGAGAATTAAAATTTTTGATTCAGTCAACGGCACTTACCTTTAAGTGGTTTACATATTGGTGTTGGAGTTCGGTAACAGATGAAAACGATATTTCCAACAACAGAAATGACCAAGCAGACTATTGTTATCACCAGCAGAATAAATTCAGAACTTGCTGTTTGCTCTAGACAACACAGAAAAAATCAATAATGATGTTATTAACATGTTGTGAATATAATTTTCAGTATTTAACACAGATCATTTTCAGTATTTAACACAGATACATACCAATTTCAACTTTAGTTCCATTTCCAAATAATATCTCTCCACATGTGGCCACAGCACAGTAATAAGTTCCAGCATCAGAGGAGCTGATGTTCTTAGTGAAGCGATAAACACAGCTTTTCTGAGTGTTGGATCTCTTTTCACATTCATCGTGTCTATTTCCATCAGTGTAGATGATATTTGGATGAGATTGATCTGATCCAGCTCTGAACCAGAACACACTGTGATCTCCTGGACATGTTTTATTGTCAGAGTCAGAGAGGACTGAACACTGGAGAGTCATCGAGTCTTCTGGATGGACTGGATCAGATACTGTCGGCCACTGAACAACAGTATAGTTTGATGTCTTCAGAGTGTTTCCTGAGTATTTTAAGAAGTCAAATGTAACATAAGCATAACATACAGTGGTATGACATGATACTGTGCAAAAATAATAAGAAACAATTATTCCATAATTAGAATTATATCCTGAGTGAAATGTCCACACTGACAAAACTGAGCAATATATTTCACATAACATTTAAAATGGAGGTTTTACGTTTTACGTTTTGCAGTATTGTATATTGAATTTGGAAATCATCTAAAAAAATACTTTAAGTGGTTAAAGTGATTACAAAACAGGGAAAAAATAAATAATTACCTGTTATTGACAAATAGGTCCCACTCCAAGTAATCTTTGCGTAATCCACAAGTGCACAGTGATACATTCCCTCGTCTTCTTGAATTGTCCTCAAAATGGTCAGCTTGCTGATATTCTTATGAATGTTTAGATCAAGTCTAGAGGCAGAAAACTCTGGTCCATACACAGGGTTTATGCCTTTCCGCTGTACTAGGATTAATTTTAAACTATCTCCAACACTCTGCTTGTACCAGTGAAACTGTCTTGGGTTCGACTCATAATCAGGTAAAACACATGTGAAGGTTGCAGGTTCACCAAGTTGTGCTGTGGTCACTGGAATCAGGGTATCTAGAATAAATTAAAATGTACAAGACATTAAACAAAACAAAAAAATTGTGTAGAAACAACGCAAAAAATATACAGTATTCACATGAACCACCATTTATCAAGATTGTGTGAATATACTTAAATGAGAAAATATTAGACATTATTATATATCACTTACGTCCCTGATGAAAGAGAAGCATTGTAACACAGATCACGATCATCTTAACATTGTCTCTTGTCAGGAGACTTCTTGGTTATTGTGTGAGTGAAGGTAGTGACGTCCTGATATGTCAGAACATCAGATGCATCTGATTGGTTATCAGAGAAAAAAAAACTATCAAAGTGCATTTCCTGTCACACAGTTTAGGTCCTGGTCTATGTGAAGTGTATTACCTCCCACTCTCATCCATTCACTGAACTATTTGATTCATAAAGATTCAAGTTTTTAAGAATTTAAATATCAGATAAACTGATAAACTGTAATATTCTGTATGGTAGTGGTTCCCAACCTGGGGGTTGGGACACCCTCTAGGGGTCACCAAAGCTTGCTGGGGGGTTGCGAGGCCGTCTTGATTTTAAGGGTTGTGAGAAAACCTTTTTACAAAAAACTAAACAAACAGTAGTCCAACATCTCTGCATTTCATTCAGGTATCTGCAGAAAACTAAATAAAATTATTTTTAAGTTTAAGATTTTAAAGGCACACTATGCAAGATTTTTACCTTAATATAACAGCTTCGAAGTCATTCTGATGGTAAACAAACTCGTAGTACAGCGAATCATCCTGATAGCAAAGCAGGAGAGGGACGCTGCTGGCAGAACCAGCAATGCAAGTCTGAAAGGTGGCGCCCCACCAAATCTCAAGTTCAATAACCGCATATCATTGAATTATGTGCAGAAAACTAATTATTACTATTATTTTTAAGTTTAGAAGATTTTATTGAAGATGAAAGCTTTAGAGATCTGAACACAATATACAGTGGGTACGGAAAGTATTCAGACCCCTTTAAAATTTTCACTCTTTGTTTCATTGCAGCCATTTGCTAAAATCAAAAAAGTTCATTTTATTTCTCATTAATGTACACTCAGCACCCCATCTTGACAGAAAAAAACAGAAATGTAGAAATTTTTGCAAATTTATTAAAAAAGAAAAACTGAAATATCACATGGTCTTAAGTATTCAGACCCTTTGCTGTGACACTCATATTTAACTCACATGCTGTCCATTTCTTCTGATCCTCCTTGAGATGGTTCTGCTCCTTCATTGGAGTCTAGCTGTGTTTAATTAAACTGATTGGACTTGATTAGGAAAGGCACATACCTGTCTATATAAGACCTTACAGCTCACAGTGCATATCAGAGCATCATGAGGTCGAAGGAACTGCCCAAGGAGCTCAGAGACAGAATTGTGGCAAGGCACAGATCTGGCCAAGGTTACAAAAGAATTTCTGCAGCACTCAAGGTTCCTAAGAGCACAGTGGCCTCCATAATCCTTAAATGGAAGAAGTTTGGGACGACCAGAACTCTTCCTAGACCTGGCCGTCCAGCCAAACTGAGCAATCGTGGGAGAAGAGCCTTGGTGAGAGAGGTAAAGAAGAACCCAAAGATCACTGTGGCTGAGCTCCAGAGATGCAGTAGGGAGATGGGAGAAAGTTCCACAAAGTCAACTATCACTGCAGCCCTGCACCAGTCGGGGCTTTATGACAGAGTGGCCCGACGGAAGCCTCTCCTCAGTGCAAGACATATGAAAGCCCACATAGAGTTTGCCAAAAAACACATGAAGGACTCCCAGACTATGAGAAATAAGATTGTCTGGTCTGATGAGACCAAGATTGAACTTTTTGGCGTTAATTCTAAGCGGTATGTGTGGAGGAAACCAGGCACTGCTCATCACCTGCCCAATACAATCCCAACAGTGAAACATGGTGGTGGCAGCATCATGCCATGGGGGTGTTTTTCAGCTGCAGGGACAGGACAACTGGTTGCAATTGAAGGAAAGATGAATGTGGCCAAGTACAGAGATATCCTGGAAGAAAACCTCTTCCAGAGTGCTCAGGACCTCAGACTGGGCCGAAGGTTCACCTTCCAACAAGACAATAACCCTAAGCACACAGCTAAAATAACAAAGGAGTGGCTTCGGGAACAACTGTGACCATTCTTGACTGGCCCAGCCAGAGCCCTGACCTAAACCCAATTGAGCATCTCTGGAGAGACCTGAAAATGGCTGTCCACCAACGTTCACCATCCAACCTGACAGAACTGGAGAGGATCTGCAAGGAAGAATGGCAGAGGATCCCCAAATCCAGGTGTGAAAAACTTGTTGCATCATTCCCAAGAAGACTCATGGCTGTAGTAGCTCAAAAGGGTGCTTCTACTCAATACTGAGCAAAGGGTCTGAATACTTATGACCATGTGATATTTCAGTTTTTCTTTTCTAATAAATTTGCAAAGATTTCTACATTTCTGTTTTTTTCTGTCAAGATGGGGTGCTGAGTGTACATTAATGAGAAATAAAATGAACTTTTTTGATTTTAGCAAATGGCTGCAATGAAACAAAGAGTGAAAAATTTAAAGGGGTCTGAATACTTTCCGTACCCACTGTATATACTATATTCACAGAGCCTTCACTCTCTGCTAAATAGCCTCGTCCTGCATTGGAAAAGTAAAAAAACACAAAGAGCTAATAGAACAATGACAAGAAAAAAAAAAGAAAAAAAGAAGCCTATTAAGTATTTGTAGATATAATTTGTAAACAGACGTTCCTAAAAATTTCAGGACTCATCTCTGATAATATTCACAGGAAATCTGCTCAAAATTCATCCAAATATTTCATTTAAACAAACGTTTTGCAGTTATTGTGTTCACTATTTAGGTTCATTATACAGTTTATCAATTCATCTCTTCTGTTATTGTTAAGTATTGAATATAATATAGATATCCATAAAATATGTCACTTAGTCAGGGGCTGTCAGTTCATTCAACGATAGAAAAATAAGTTGCAGAGTGCATTCTGACTTCTGGGAGGCAGGGGCGGACTAGGACAATAATTCAGGCCGGGAATTTGATACCATCCCAGGCCACCACCACCCGATTAACACAGGCTGCACATTTAACAGTGTAGTAGTAGATGAAATAAAATAGGTTACACCATCATCCACCTAAACCTGAGACCAATCCTATTTCCAGGTACCAGACTAGTTATAAATTTGACTACTGTGTCAACCATAGTATCATACCATGAGTGAGAGGTACACAGGTGGCGCACTGCAGATGTGTAGGTTTACTCTCTGTAACATTAAACAAGGAAACTTCAAACACACACAGAAAGAAATTAAAACTATGATACAACACAGTTTTTTTACTCACAGTGAGTAAAAAAAAAAGAGAAAAAGTTTAGAACGTTCACTCACTCATGTAAAAAAAAAGTAATCAATTCTCACCACTAGTACACCAGCAGGCAGCGCAGTTGTCACTGCTCTCTGCCATCCTATAAATGATATCCTCTTTGTCCATTTCCATCCGAATCTCTTTCTCTGTTGCCATCAAAATAAATGCTTCAAGGTTTTCTCGACTGAGGGAGGTTCTTAGGCAGTACTTCACCAACTTCAGGGTGGAGAAGGTCCTCTCACAGGCAACCTGAGTGATGGATAGTGTGAGGAGGAACTTGTAGCCTAAACAAATTATATGATATGCATTGGTGAGCAGATTGTATTGTGAAAGAAGTACATAACAGCATATTGGGCAATTTTTACAAGTGGCACGTCCATCAATTTCCAGCAGGCATTTGTTGAGCTCTCTCATGGCAGTGTCTAGAAGGCCTTTCTCCCTGATTTCCGGGAAAAGTTTTGGATCCATGCAAGACACATCTGTACACAGCACTGCATTTGCTGCATAATGGCAGTGAATACTTTCAACTACAGTATCCAGAATCACATTATACATACATTGGGAATGACTCTTTGACTTGTCTGATTTGGAATCCTTGGAGTCAGGGCGGGCAAAATAATCAAATGGATTTTCATGGCTTTCGCTGTCCTTGTCTTTCCCTGTATCTCTCTCTTTCTCACTCAGTACATCTAGTTGCTCTGCAGAATGAAACTAACCCTTTAAATAATCTATACTTGTAAAGTTAATTGTATACTGATCATCATAAGTGAAGCACAAGTTATTCTAAAAGCATAGGCTGCATGTTTGGTTTGTACTTAAATTGTACCTGAAGGTTCCTGCTCTGACTCTTCACTGCTGCTGTCCACCACTGCCATGACAGCAGGAGCTCTTGCAGCACTAGTGCTGCTGACCGTGCTGACACTGCTCCCTTCTCCACCTTTGTAAAGAATAATCCAAAAGCCACCCATAATTTCCCAGCTATTCAAATTCACTAATTGACATTTTTTATATGCATTGGCTTTTTTAAATTATTTTTTTTATATCTGTATTTATTTATTTCACGTAAAATGCTGCTACAAGGGAATTTCCCCGTTGTGGGATTAATAAACTAATACAACAATAAATGTTTATATAACAACAAATTCTTAATTTGGTGGGCGCAACTTGGTGTGTTTGTGTCTGCCTGCAGTGCTGTGACAGAGAGCCTCAGAAATAGAGAGGAGGGGGTGTGTTTGTGCCCAAAGTTGCTGCTCAGTATTTTTTTTTTTTTAAATCAAGCGCAACCCAAACCGAGCCTTTGGTCCCGACCGTGGGCAAGTTCGGCGGCCAGGCCACCGGGAAATGTCCCAGTGCTCCCGATGGCCAGTCCGCCACTGCTGGGAGGTAACTTACTTCACTACTGCTAGAAGGAGGTTGAGTATTTTCATATTGGCATTTCCCTGCCTGACGGAGTTCTGTCCACTGTATTAACTATACAAGATAATTTGTGGGCTGTTCTTGTGGTATCATTTGAATATAATCTAGTGTAGTCTCCTACTCCGGCTGTAACATCCACACACAATATATTGGTAACATGTAAATTCTTAAAACTTTTAAAAAAGTTTTAAGCTGTTTTTTCCACCTTTATTGAAACATTATTGAATTACATCTGGCTGGATTTCATTTTAAAGGGCTAATCCAAATTGTTCAAATTGACTGGAGCAGGAGATTTTGACTATGGCAACTGCTGTGCATTCACATGCTGCGGCCAGTATATTAGCTCCTTGAAATCTCTCTGTTTTTGTTTTAATCTGTTTTTGGCTTCAGTGCTGACAGAAAATAGCCTACAGTAATCAGAAAAGGAAGCATGAGGTTTGGATTGCAG